CTCTTGCCCGGGAGTTTGTACGTAACCTGGAGCAGCTCTGCTTTGCTCTGCGGTGGCTGAGGTGACTCTGTGTCACTCTGTGGGCTGGCTGGGGTGGCTCTGCTCCACCTCTGTCATCCTCCTATGATAGACGGGCTGGCTGGTGATGAGGGAGATGCAAGAGAACATATCCAAGTGCACCGACATGTTCCCAGCCCCTTAGTACATTCCTCAGCCAAAACAAGTTCCATGACCAAACTCAGAGTCAAGGAGTGGGGAAATATTGAGAACTACAGAGTTATAAGGCAACAGTCAGGGGTATAGGGAGGGCTAAATTGGGATTAAAAATTCAAACTATCAAAGTGGGAAAAGCCAATATTTGGGGAAGAAAAAAGAATGTTTCTAGCTGTTGAAAGATTGTCTCCTGAACCAAACCTAAAAATCTACTTTGAAAATATTCCTATTGGGGCCGGGCGCGGGTGGCTCACGCCTGTAATCCCAGCACTTTGGGAGGCCGAGGCAGGCGGATCACCTGAGGTCAGGAGTTCAAGACCAGCCTGGCCAACATGGTGAAACCCTGTCTCTACTAAAAGTACAAAAAATATTAGCTAGGTGTGGTGGCAGGTGCCTGTAATCCCAGCTACTCGGGAGGCTGAGGCAGGAGAATCGCTTGAACCCGGGAGGCGGAGGTTGTGGTGAGCCAAGATCGCACCACTTCACTTTAGCCTAGGCGACAGAGTGAGACTCTGTCTCAAAAATAAATGAATAAATGAAATAAAAAAGAAAATATTCCTATTGGAGTCATAGGAATAATAAATAATTCTGTATAAATGTTAATAACTATGGTACTCCTAGTGAATATTTGTGAATATATAATTTTATAATGTATATTTGTTGAACCAAATTTCCGAACTTCCTTCTGAAGTTAAGGAAAACTTGAGCATCCTAAGATTTCTGGCGATGATGAACACTGTGGTGTTGCAGATTCATGAACTGTAAAGTGGGTTCAGGCACTGAAAGGAAGCAAGGCTGGTCTGGAGAGTCCACTGACTTGCCCTTCCAGAGCTGTCTTCCTCATGGTTCTGTCAGCTCTTAGCTGGCTCTCAGCTAATTTCTTGTTAAGTGCTAGCTGAAAATGGCTAAAAGTGTTTATCTTTCAGGGTGCATTTGGATGGTAATAATAGAAACCTAAGGAAGTCTTCAGGGATGAATCTCCAATGGTGGAAGATGACAATACATTTAATGATTTTTTTCCTCAAAGTTGAGAACATTTTATGGTATTTAAAGCACTTCAACACATTAGGCTGAATCGCATTGGCAATTTCATGTGATTCAACCTATTGTATTATTTATTCTTTATGGCAATCTTCAGACACAGGTAGGAAATAGATTCAGAGGAAATCACTTTTTTTGCCTTAGATCACACAGTAAATGGTAAGAGTAGGCCTGGAGTCCAAGTCATCTGCTATCAAGTTCAATTTTTTTCCTTACACAGGTGTGGCAGAAGTACTTTAAAACATTTTTTGCTCTGCTGTGCCTCTCTCCTTCCCCCAGCCCCACACCTTCTCCTTCTGTTTGCCTGTTTCTGTTTATCCCCTTAGTGGCCTGATACACTAACTAGTGAACCCATCATCTTGAAAGAGGAATGTGGTATATTTCCCCCTGTTGAGCTACTGCTTAATTTGTCAACCTCCTTTACCCTGAGCCCACTGTGATGGCTGGACTCTTAAAATATACCTAGAGCTTTGCTCCAACTTCAGCCCCAAAGACATTAAATAATTAACTTCCAGCACTCTCCTTTGTGTGCTTTATCTCTGCATCACCCAAAATAGCTGGTGGCATTTCCTCTGTATAAATAGAAAGCAGAAAGGTCAATTGGCATTTTTGAAATATATATGTATATATTTTTTACAAAGCAGCAAGCTAGCAGGTTCCCTTTATTTGCTCATAGTAACTGTTTCATAGCAAGAAACTTCCTAGTTTAACTCCTTAGTCAATTTCCCCCACCATCTTGCAGTTGGATAGTTATTAATACAATTTGAATTGGTTCAGAATTAAGATTGAGTGTAGCTGAAGGAGAAAGCATTTTCCCAATGATGATAAGTCAAAGATTTAACCTTCAAGTACTGTTAAATCTTGTTCCCCACTCCCACCCCAGTGAACCAAATGAAAGTAAATTTGAGTGAGCTTCTCTTTAGAGGCATGGAGCTATGATGCAAAATGATATTTCTTCCTAGCTCTTTTTTCTTTTAAGCCTGATGAAGTGCATAACACAAATCCCTGGAGAGTAAGCTGTTTTTAGTCTGACCTGTCTTCTAAGAACCATGTTCTGAAATGCAAGGTATAGGAATGTGAATCTGTTTGTGAAAGAGACTATTTGAAAATCTAGCTATTTCCCCTTAGGACCCAGCACACAAGTTTTGTTCTGTTCTAATGTTATGAAAAACATTAACAAGAATATTCAGCAATTTTTATTAACTGGGGTAATATTATGGTCCCTGCTCTTCCAGTCATATTTGCAATCTGGTTGGTCACAAAAGGGCATGTGGGCTGGGGTGAGGTCTCATCCCTGTTAACATGATGGCAATTTGCATGCCCGCTGTCAGCAGCAGTGTGGTCACATGCCCCCATCATCGCAGGTTTCCCAGGGCAAACCTGATTTTCAGTGTTCTACCATGGCAACAACCATGGGCCCTAGATTTTGACTTGGGAAACACACTCAAGTTCCAAATTCTGAAAAGTCTCCGATCCCACCTCCAGAAGCCAGTATTTGAGGTCTGCTTTTCCTGCTGCAGACACAGGGGCTGTGAGAGCACATACATGGTCCTGTCCGCCAGCCTCCCAGCCAGGAATCATTCTCCAGTATGCAGGGAGGGAGGGTGAGAACGAGCATTGTTAGCTTTGGGAAGAGGCAGAGTGAAGATCTGTGCAGCCCCAATACCTTTCCATAGTGTAAGGGAATTGTGGGAACTCAGAAGAGTGATGTTCATAACCCTTGAGCACTAGAGAAATTGTCGGTTCACCTGGTTGATTCCTTTGGTCGCTGGGCAGGGATAGAAGTGAAGCCACAGGGTAGAGCTTTAGGGCACAGTGACCATGCCCCTTTGTCCTTAAAATAAGCCCATTAAGTTCTCTCAAGTTATTCACACTGACACTCCACCCCAATTACTACTTGTTTATATTCGCTGTGAAGCATTTGAAATCTTTGGAGCCTTCTTTGAAGTCCTCATACCACCTTCCAATATGTGAGATTAATTAAGCCCCCAATTAAGAGCAGTCAAACCACTGTTCCAAAAAGAGGGAGGGGGAGAAGAGAGACAACAGAAAGAAAGGTCTTGAACAGTGGTTCTGTGTGGTACCAGTGGCACTGGCACCACTTGGAAATGTGTTAGAAACCCTGACCTCTTGAATCAGAAACGCTGGTGATGGAATTCACCAATCTATGCTTCAGCAAGCACTCCAGGTGATTCAAATGCATGCTCAAATGTGAGAATCACTGGTTTAAAGGAGTGCATCATGCAGGAAGCACAGCACCACTGATACAGGTTAGTAAGATAAAGAACCTCTCTTAGTTTCCTCAGTCATCAGCAGGAGGCAGAAAAGTGAATAACAGTACTGTGGGCATAAAATTCACCCATATAGTTCTGAAACAATAGATATGTTTTAGCCCCTTATCTTCCCACAGAAGGGAGTGGGGTGGGTCTGGGTATTGATGAAGATTATCTCCTTGACCAAACTTTAGACAGGCTCTTTTGAGCTCTCTTTTTATGAGGACTCATTCTTGGCTCTGTCTTCAGCCTGCCAAATCCAGTTTTAGCAAGAATTCTGGTAAACTCAGTTTATTGAGAATCCCCCACATTTGATAGCTGATCACCCTCAGTATCTGATCAGATTCTTCATCACCTGCCCTCAATCTCTGATGACCCTCGCCTGCCTTCAGCGGGAGCCTTAAGTCAGTTTAGCAGGAGTCTCCCTGCTATGGTTTGAATATTTGCCCCTCCAAAACGTACGTTGAAATTTGATCCCCAAAGCGGTGATGTTGGGAAGTGGGGCCTAGTGGACAATGTTTGGGTTATGGGGGAGCACCCTCATAAATAGCTGTGGTACAGATCCGGAGTAGTGAGTGAGTTCTTGCTCTCTAGGCTGGATTACTTCTTGTGGGAATCGATTATTTCCCGGAAGTGTGGCTGTTATAATGCCAGGACACCCCTTAGGTTTCCCTGTCTTCGTACTCATCCACTTCTCCTTCACTGCTGTGTTGTGAGGGAGCACGCCAGCTTTCGCCAGAAGCCAGGGCCATGCCCTTGAACTTCTCAGCCTACAAAACCGTGAGCGAAATAAACTTCCTTACTTTATGAATTACTCAGTCTCTGGTATTCTTTTATAGCAACACTAAACAGATGAATACAACCCCTAACCTTTGAATACTCCTCTTAGAAATTTTCTATCCGCCAAGGCCCCTATCCTGCTAATTGGCTAATAATCTCTAGTTTTCTTTGCTTCAGCAAAGAAACTTCAGAGTTGAGCCCAGTGCCTCTCCCATATTGCAATATTGTTGATACCTATCAAAATAGTCCTGAGTACAGTCTTTTTGCCATTTCAATAAGTGTCAGAATAATTTTTTCATTAACAGTATATTTAAATGTGTCTATGTTTAAAAAGCTTCACAAGCAAATCTAATGTAGCTCCATGGTTGAAAATTCTGATAGACAGTGGTTAAGAGTATGAATTCTGGAATGAGACAGACCTGGTTGGAAATGCCAACTCTGCTTCTTGCAGCTGAGTGACAAAGCAAATTACCTAACCTGAGCATCTCTCTTTCTGTTGTCTGTCTTTCTGTCTCTCTCTTTCTCTCTCTTTCACTCTCTCTCTCTCGAGTTAGTGAAAAGATCCAATGAAGGCCCTTAAACTACTTAGTACAGTACTGGTACCCAACAGGCACCAAATTAACCAAATATTACTGGCTCTAAGTAATAATTATCAAAGGATGGATATGTTGCATTCAATAAGAAAGTTTTACATAAGGAAAAGATAAAATAGGTGATTTATTTTGTAACTGTGAAAACTATGTTTATTTTGAATACAAATCTTGAATTATCTATGGATGAGTTTGAAATAAATCATAGAAGAGAATCACTCTTTGGATTTTTAATCCAGGTCCTTGTGTGTGTATGAAATACATACATTTCTTCCTTGTTAGTCATGGAAGGGCAAAAGTGGACCAAAAACAGGTCAGCTAAGACAGGTATGTCTGGCTTCTGGGCTGCAGCTCAGTATGTTGTAGGCTAGGGTCCAGTGACCTTCATTGGCTGGCTGCCCACAGTCCCCGAGACCCTAGGCAGTCAGGCACTGAGCTCTGTCCTCCAGCTGAAAATGATGAAGAGCACATGGCTTCTCCCAGGTCATTGTCAGGGTGACTCAATTCTGCTGGAAGCCCTGAGGGCGCACATGAGACAAATGCTTTACAAGAGAGCCAAATTTGATCTACAAGCTTATCTCAGGGTATAGTCCAAATAACACTTATGACTCCAAGCACAGGCAGCCATGCTCACCGCTCTCTAAAGAAGCCAGTACTTCTGACGAGGAATTGAAAGTCAATATGGGAGCTCCGCTTTTGTATCCATTCCCCATAATAGAGTTCAGCTTCTATGTTAAATGAATTTTCACATACATTTGTCCACTTGAACTCCTGCTTCTTTTTGACTGTTGCCTAGAGATGGTTCTGGAGAGTAGGTTATTTTCCCATCGTGATCAGCAACTGCTCTTCAAAGTACAGGAGCTGGTCCACTTCAAAACAGTCGCTGGCTCGAGGCACCACTTTTTCCAAATGCTCCCGGATCTGTGCTTCGCTAGCATTCTGATGCCTTGCTCTCTTGAGGTAATTATAGACCTCTTCAAATACTTCTGTCCCCAGCTTCTGCATGGCTGATCTGCCAAAAAAGTTACAAAAGATTACGAAGAGTTACGTATTAAGATCACCTGCAGGAAAATGTGCTTTTAAATTATTGATTTTACAAACATTGTCATTCTGGGATTTAGAAAAAAGGGGGGAAAAAGGGCACAATGTCTCCACCCTAAACATTTAACAATATTCAACAAATAATGCCTCAATGTCTATTATGTGCCAGGTACCCTTCAAGGAACTGGGAATATAGCAGTAAACAAGTTAGGCAAAGTCCTGCCCTTGTGTGTGTGTATATATATAATACACAGATATACACACATATGTGTTTATATAAATGTATGTATATATAACACATATACACATAAGATAACAGATGGTTCTAAGTGCAATGAAGAAAAAGCAGGGTGAGGCAGGCAGGAAAATCCTTCTGAGGAAGTATCATTTAAGCAAAAGCTCTCAGGAAGTAAGACAAATACTAGGGGCTAGAGAATTTGGGCCCTAAGGCTAAAACATATTGGAAAAATAACAAGAAAGCTATTGTGGCTGGAGTTAGTAGAACAAAGGGAAACAGGACTGTGGGATATAAAATCCTGAAATAGCTAATAATAACAAAATAACAATGAGGAGGAGGAGGAGGAAAATGAGGGGGAGAATAGTTTTATTTGCCACTTGCCAGGCCCTTTTCTACTCACTTTGCCCTTACAATCACACTTAACCCTTACAACAGCTTTACGAAGGAGGCAATTTTTTAAATCCCTGTTTTACAGATGAAGAAACTGAGGCTTAAAAGGGGCAAAGTTATTTGGCCAAGTTTCCAACAAGGCCAACATTCATTTTTTCCACACTTCCAGTGTTTGTCCTTATGTCAACATAATCTTTACGTTATAATCACATTGCCATATTTAGTGTGTTTATTTCACCATTGACTATTTTCCTCTATCTCCAGAAAGGGTCACAAACTAAAGACCTATGGGCAAAATTTGGCCCACAACATGTTTTGTCAATAGCATGTTTTATCTTCATTATTTTAAAATGTTTTAATGTGAATGTCTTTATGTGGGGCCTGCAAGCGCTCTGTGCTCTGCATTTTCTGACTGTCTTTGACCTACCTCCCCTATGTTTTATCACCTTATACCAGGCTGCTTCTCATAGTTCTTCTACCCGCTTAACTCAAGGGCATTCAAGCTGGTGGATTTAGGTTTGCGGTTCTTCACAGTTGTCGTTTTTAATGGCCCCATATTGTTCCACTGAATTTATGTGCCAATATTTACTCCATTATCCCTTCACCAAACAATGAGCTTTTTTTGCTTCTTTTCACTATAACATAGTATGACTATCTCATCTTTAGACATTAGGCATTTTCATTTTAGAGGAATATTTTATGACATCAAATTTTTAGGAGTTGGGCTATTACGTGTGTGTGTTCACTCTAAAAATTTATGTGCGTACTTAGGGTTTCTGCACTTTTCTCTGAAGAACAGAGAAAAGACTAAATGTATGTTGTGCTTGATTAAATGATAAAAATGTTATGGGAATGAGATTATTAAGTCAAAGTGTATAAATATTTGTGTGACTTTAACTTGAAGAAATATTTCTTTTTCTTCATTTCAATGGATTTGGTAAAAAGAAAAACCAGGATGTGTATTTTTTCACAATTTTTTTAAAATTTTTTATTTTTATTTATTTATTTTGAGATGAAGTCTTGATCTAGTTTCCCAGGCTGGAATGCAATGGCGCGATCTCTGCTCACTGCAAACTCCACCTCCCAGATTCAAGTGATTCTTCTGCCTCAGCCTCCTGAGTAGCTAGGATTATAGGTGCCTGCCACCATGCCTGGCTAATTTTTGTATTTTTGGTAGAGACAGAATTTCACCATGTTGGCCAGGCTGGTCTCGAACTCCTGACCTCAGGTGATCCGCCCACCTTGGCCTCCCAAAGTGCTGGGATTGCAAGCGTGAGCCACCGCGCCCAGCCTTTTCTCACAATTTTTGAAGCATTAATGCTTAACAGTAATGATGGTAATGTTGATAATAACATTGGAGACATTAGTCATAGACTCACTCATTTTATAAGCTTTTATTGTTCAGTGTTATTCAACCTTGTAATCTCTAAATCATAGGATATGTGTTACGTATTGTGGCATATAAAGAGATGAGTAAGTAATTCTTCTAGCTGTGGTTTGAAGGCTAGTAATGACAATGCAAGACATAAATTTTTAATTTTAACTAACATTTCTATAGCCCTTTAGAGCTTGCAAAGTGCTTTTGCATTCATTATATCAAATGCTCCTTGTGAACTAGGCAATTCATTAAACATTTGTCTTCATTTTACAGATGAGAATAAGTAGGTTTTTAGTAGTTTTTCACAAGCTCCACAGTTAGTGTGGTGGAGTTTGGACTCAAATGCCGATCTTAAAACACCAGATGCTGGCGAAACCAGCAGTCCTAGGCTCCACAATAGGTTTCCCACCTTCTGTCATGAGATTATCAGGACTGATTCCAGCATGCCTGACATCCCTAGTCACCTCAGTTACCCCCCAAAATCAGGTGTTTCTTTTGCTGACATCTACCAAACCCTGGTCATTCCCTTCATACATTGATTACTTCAGTGACTAGCCCACTCTCTTTCTTCCACCTTGTACTCTTGTCATCATTCTTGACTTCTGTATTCTTGCTGTCTCTGGTTTTGAACTGCCTCACATTCAGCCATCATTTCTTTTACCCTACCTGAGTTGCACATTCCCATGATCATATCAATTGACCTCATCAGTGCCAATGACTACATAACCTCTGAAACTGATTTCACGCCTCCTACTCTCTAACCACCCCCTCTGTGCCCTCCCACCATACTTACCAGCCAATCTTCCACTTCATGGTGCCCTTCATTCCTTTGACTCTACCCCCAAGATAATAATTACTCACTCCCTTTGTAACCTCATATACTCAGTCCCCACCTCCTCACAGTTATATTTCATAGCCCATCATCACAACCATTATCTTGCAAATACCTTTGACTTTTTCCACCCCTTTTCCCTTTGTTTGGCAAAGACCTAATGTTTAAACTCAGTCATGTACCTACTCCATGGCTGTACCCAAACAAGAGAATATTTACGGAGAAAAGCATCCAAATGTACCAAGTCTCTCATTTAAGATGATAATCTTGATTCAGAATGGTGCTCAGCACTACCCAACGATCTTACCGTATCTCCCCAGTATGTTTATTTTCCTCCCCAAATGACTATCTCAAATGTTTGCCTTTATTCTTTTAAAAAATATTTTATTTTTGATTTTTAAATTTTATTGTGTATATTTGAAGTTTACAACATGATGTTTGGGGATACATATAGATAATAAAATGGTTACTATAGTGAAGCAGATTAACATATCTATGACCTCACATACATAGTTACTTTTTAATGACAAGAACAGCTAAAATCTACTTATTTAACAAAAATTCCCAATACAATACAATTTTATTAATTTTAGTCCTCATATTGCACATTAGATCTCTAGACTTGCCCATCCTACCTATCTACTATTTTGTATCCTTTGACCTACATTCCCTCATTTCCTCTCCCCTACCAACCCTGCCTGAAGTAACCATTGTCATTCTCTATTTCTGTGTACTTGAACTCTTTTTTTTTTTAAATTATTCCATATATAAGTGAGGTCATGTAATATTTTTCTTCCTGTGTCTGGCTGTTTTTCACTTAGCATAATGTCCTCCAGGTCTTTCCATGTTGTGGCAAATGACAGGATCTCCTTTTATAAGGCTGAATAATATTCCATTGCATATCTATGCCACCCTTTCTTTATCCACTTCTCCATTGATAGATATTTAGGTTGTTTCCATATCTTGGCTATTGTTCACAATGTTGCAATGAATATGGGAGATATCTTGATGAAGTGGTATTTTCTTCTCCTTTGGGAAGAGGGATTTGCTGGGTCATTGGTAGTTATATTTTTAATTTCTTTAGGAACCTCTATATTGTTTTCCATAGTGGCTGTACAGTCTACTGTCCCCCAGCTGTATATATTAGGGTTCTCTTTTCTCCACACCAACATTTGTTATTTCTTCTTTTTGATAACAGACATTCTTAGGGGTTTGAGGTGATATTTCATGGGTTTTAATTTGCATTTTTCTGATGATTAGTGATATTGAGCACCTTTTCATATATCTTTTGGCCATTTTAATGTCATCTTTGGAGAAATATCTGTTCAGGTCCTCTGCCCTTTTTTTTTTTTTTTTTTTTGAGATGGAGTCTCACTCTGTCGCCCGGGCTGGAGTGCAGTGGCTGGATCTCAGCTCACTGCAAGCTCCGTGTCCTGGGTTCATGCCATTCTTGTGCCTCAGCCTCCCGAGTAGCTGGGACTACAGGTGCCCGCCACCTCGCCCGGCTAATTTTTTGGATTTTTTAGTAGCAACGAGGTTTCACCGTGTTAGCCAGGATGGTCTCGATCTCCTGACCTCGTGATCTGCCCGTCTTGGCCTCCCAAAGTGCTGCAATTACAGGCTTGAGCCACCGCCTCTTCCCATTTTAAAAATTGAGTTATTTGGTTTTTTGCAGTTAAGGTGTAAGAGTTTTTATAAATTTTGGATATTAACGACTTATTAGATATGTGGTTTGCAAATATTTTTTCCCAGTCTATAGGTTGTCTTTTCCTTTGTTAATTATTTCTTTTGCTGTGTAGAATCTTTTTAGTTTTATATAGTACCATTAATTTATTTTTGCAAAAGATCAGAATAAAAATAAATCAAATAGGGAATAAAAAACATAGAAAAAAATAATCAAACCAAGAGTTGGTCATTTGAAAACCAAAACACAATTGAGAAAGCCCTAGCTAGACTAACTATGAAAAAAAAGAAAATACACAAATAATAAATCAAAACAGAAATAAAAGTGGAGACATTATAACAGATGCATCAGAAATAAAAAAGGATTATAAGGGACTGATATAGTTTGGATACCTGTCCCTGCACAAATCTCATGTTGAATTGTAATCCCCAGTGTTGGAGGTGGGGACT